ACAATGTATTAATTTTAGTTAGTTGGTTATGTATTTTTTAAATAAAAAAAAAATTTTGAATTTACTTACTTGTAGCCAGAGTTAGAGGCGGTCGGATACTTATGACCGCTACTGTATATCGATTAGAAGTTAAATATAATATACCATTATCATCCAATATCAATATTCTGTCTAATGAATGGATTCGTCTTTAATTTTGACCAACTAATCTTATTGCTAGTAAAACAATACATTATACTAGTCAGTTTAACATTAAATATCAAGTTCAAGTTCGATAATTATGTAAAGACCATTTAGATGTACATTACTGTACTTGTTTTTTCCATTATCTGCGTGAATTTGCTATTCTTTATTATAATTATATTTGTTATATTGTAGCTAATGATAAACATAAAGTTTCAATTAGAAAAGGTATGATTACATCAACTAGTATACATAATAAGAAAAGTTTAGTTAGTGTAAATTTAACATTAGTAGCAAGTAACCATGATTTTATAAAATTATCACTTACTCCTTCAGTTATTTTTTTCATTGATATTTCAGCAATTATTGAAAATTCTTTTTATTATGATAATATTTTTGTTTCATATAAAGATACTATTTTTCAATCTAGTAATGCAATTAGACATGTAACTGAATTCTTTAATGTGATTAAAATGCATTATATTTTTACTATTCTATCTATTATTTATCTTTATACTGATGGTGATCACTGAACTACATTTAGTTCTATTCAAATTTCTCTTATTTGTTTATTTCTTCGTGATAATTTTGATTTATTTATTGCATTGTGTATTGCATCATATCATAGTTGGGCTAATTCTATAGAATGAATTATGTCTATTATTAATTTGAGACTTCAAGAAGTTGCAATTATGAGGGATATGATGAGTATGAAGTTGAAAGATATATTCAAAAAAGCTGATACATTAGAAGAAATTTATGCAGTTGCAGATAAAAATATAGACTTAAGAAATGAATTATATAATTGATTCTTTAATGTTCAACAGTTGTTGCATTCATAAACTAAAAGATTAGTATTATATAAAAATCCTTTTCAGTATTATGATCCTGCAAATGATCATGATACCAATAATTTTTTAAAGTATTTATTTGATTTTAAATATTAATTTAGGTTTTATTATTTTAATACTAATACTTAAAATATTTAAACAGATTATTCTTGAAATTGATAAATTATTAAGAATTACTAAAATAACTACAGAAATATTATTAAAAAAGAAAAATCTTCAAGAATTTCTTAAAACACATTGTAGAATTCGTCATTATTCATTTCAAGTAAATTCAAATTTTTCTTTTAACAATTTATTATTTACAGAATAAATTTATAACAATTAAGTTTATTTTATAGATTAAGAAATGCAATAATATTAATTGTAATATTTGTAAACCAATCTGACTTCTTTTTCATATTTTTGAAAATATAGATTTTTTATCAGATCCTATTTCATCAAAATGTAAGTATGATATATTTAATTAATATATTTCATTTTAATCTATTTATATTAATATAATTATCTATTTGTATATAAAACTTTAGCTAACACTGACTGTTATGAAGAATTTAAAAGTATATATTGTACTGAAATAACTAAACAATTTCGTCTTACTTTAATAGTATCTATAGAAAATGCAAAAAGGATACCATCGGCTATTTTAACAAATACTAAAGTTCGTGACATTATTCAATGCTTTCAATGTAAAAAATTTCAGTATCTTTATAGTGAAAAGGTATTAATAACTATGCAAAAGACTGAATTTCAACATATTGTCAGTAATTGGGACTATAGCTGTGAATCACCTTTAGTATCTGAGGATCATACATTATATAATATTTTATATGCATATGAAAAAATCACATGTGAAACACCAATAGAATTAGCTTATTATTAAACTATATATCTGTATGTTATTGGTGTGGATATGATCAAGGGTTAGTAGATATTCCAACATATATAACATCAAAATATAAATTTGTATTTCCATTATGTAATATTTGTCAAGCTGCAGGAAAGGATTTTTTTGGTAGAGTTAAAATTAAAACTAATACTCGAAAAAGAAAAAATAATAATAATTGATATAATTAGTTTATTGATGATGTTTTATAATATAATTCTTTAATATATTATAAAAATATAAATAAAAATACAGATTACTCGGGTTGCTGGCCAAATTTAAGAATAATTCTGGCTGAAATTATGTTTTGTTCAACTATTCGACGTTGTTCAACCACCCCCCCCAATTAGATCGATCATAACCCATATAATTTTGTTAAACGTACTATTTGCTTTGGTCTGGACCTTATTAAAAAAGAAGACAGATCACGCAATTTTATTGGCCATAATTTTAATATAAAAGCTAAAAAAAAAAAAAAAATTTCTATACGACAAAAATGCTTATAAAAACTTCTAAACAACTTCCCTCAAGTTATAGCTTACCACCACCCCCACCACCAAATACTCAACTAAGCTCACTGGTAAATGGGAGAGGAAAGGGTCGAGGTCGAGGTCGCGCTTATGCACCTAATCATGGTCGTTACTATAATGCACAAGTAACTGTTAGTCAATATAATTATCAACCTAATTATCAAAGGTAAGTAATTTAAACTGTCATATATCAAATAATTTCCTTTTTAATTTTTTTAAAATTTAGTGGATGGCGATGTGAACCTTGCGCAAAGAGCTTCGCTCACGAAGCTCAATTAAAATATCATATGAACCTACACAGAAAGTGCGATCATTGTGAATTTTCAGCAATGACAAATATTTTAAAAACGCACTTATCGGAAGTTCACAAAGTAGGAAGTAATCCTAAGAAGTCTGATGAATCGTAAGTACATATTATTAACTATAACAATTTTAATGTATATAATGCAACTACTTTTTCTTTATTTTAATACTTGAAGGAGCCTTAAAGCAGTAATGGATTTCCATCTTGATACTCCTGAAGCAATTGCAAAGTGGATTGAGCAGCGAAAGAATAACTACCCAACAGATGCCAATATAGAACGCAAAGTAATCATTTTGTTTCAATTGCCAATTCTTTGATCGTAAACTTTAGATTAATCGCAACTAATATTTATACGTTTAGAAAAAATTAGAAGCTGCTAGGATAGCTCGTGGCAAAGTTCTTAAGTCGCAGGCTCAGAAGAAGCGGCTTTTATATAATGCTAATGGAAAAAATGATGATGTAGCAATTAAAAAGAGACGATTGGAGTTTGGAGGGCGAAATATAAAGATCGGTGATTATAATGAAGATGCCGGTCCATGTGGAATAACCGATTTGTTAATTGCAGCAGCAGCCGCCGCCGTCTCTGTGCCTTTAGGCACTGATCAGACCAAAGCTGTTCAATTTTTACGATCTACACAATCTGGAAACCAGAATTATAAAAAACGGAATTTTTCTGAAACGGTTTCTAATTCGACGGGTTCAAGAAAAGATCAAATAAATGGAAGGTTATACAGACAAATCTGTATTAAATACAGACAAGGCCATTGTCCAAGGGGTAAAAACTGCACAAACAAACATGCAGGAAAGATGGTAATATAATTTATAGATAAAATGGGATAATGTGATATCTTTTGATAATAATTTAATTTGTTGTTCTTTAATCAGATTTGTCCTCCGACCCAACGCCCTCCCGATAATACCAGATGTAGGCAAAGAAATCTTCGAGACCTTGTAAGTTTTTTTTTTTTTTGTAAAGGTTTATATTTTTGCAGCTTGTAGTTTATTTATACTTTATAATTGATATCGTTTTAGCTTTTATACAAAGAATTGGTAGAGGAAAAGAACGTGATTTTACAATGCATTAGACATATAGCAAACAAAAATTTTTTCGGGGTGGTTACCAATAAAGCGATAAGAGATGCCAAAATGCGAGGTGAAGCGCTTGTCGTTGAAGTTGACGGTAATCAAGCTCCCGTATCAACTCCTGGCAAGACAAAGAAAAGCAAAACATCTGATCAAGCAATGGTCACTAAATCAAACCGGTTAAAAAAAGGAAGCAAATAAAATTAATATTTTGGTATGATTTCTCATTAAACATTTTCGTTCGAGATATATTTGATTTTTGGGTCGTTAGTATCATGAGAGTACAATTAGTCTAACTGGTATGATCAATTCACCTAGAAAAAAGTATTAACGATGTTTAATATAAACATTTGCCCAAGGACGCCCTTCAGCAAAGCCGACCTTTCTTGTATTAGTTGTCAGTCGGCCGATTTTGTGTAGAAATATTAATCAATAAAATCTAAAATAAAGCATTATTGGACTTTTGCATTATAGTTTAATTATTTTGTTATATATTAAAAAAAAAATAAAACGGCGAATTTTCTTTATCATACAAAAAAAATCTTTTTTTAATAAGATGCTTTATGCACTTGACCAAGGATAGGTTAATCTAAAATTACATGGAATGCCTCGTCATTACGAGAAATCGTCCCTCCAAGCTAGGATAGGTTAAAAAATTTGATTCATATTAACATCATATGGTTTCACTGTTCGAGAATGCGCGTTCGCGTCATTGTGAAGAGACGTCACGCGTTACCCAATATCACATGACAATCCCATTCCTCCTACTCCTCCTCAGAGAGAAAACGCGTTCTTCAATGAGTTTCTTTCAATGTGAAAATTATCATAGTTCAATAAAATAAAGTATGAAACATTATTTCGATCAAAAAGAAAATTATAAGGAAGATAACGCAATATCTACTGAACATGCTGCTAAAAAGAAAAGACAATGTCGTTCCTTTGATTTTGACTTTGATTTTGAAGCTACTGAAAAGCTCTTGAAAAAATATGAATCCTCGCATTTGCAAGTTAACTTTACCGAATCAAATTCAGCTTCTGCGCCTTGCCCACTTGGCTATCATTTAACGAATCAAATGAATCAAAGCAAGTTTAATCCTGAAGGATTTCAAATAGCAAATCATGTTAATGGATTACCAGTATACGAGGAACTTAATAAAAGTATTTCTTATTAAATAATTTTTATATTCAACTACATAAATGTTCATTTTAATTATGATCGCTCTAATTAATTTTTATTGTTCAATTTTCTTCTTTAATTTTACGGGATCGAATATTAAAAATTAGAAAGGTCGCATGTCTTGCAAACGAAAAATTATGAGTTTGAAAATACGCGTCTTCCTGATAACGGTAAATATCTTACCGCTACTTTATCGTCTGGTCGACGGCTTTATTTTCCATTGAACAAAACAGAAAAACCTATTGAATACGTAAGTATTTAAGTATTTTGCGTTACGATTACTTTAGAACTAATGTTCCTACTTTTAAAAGGAAGCTTCCTCAGTTGTGAACAAAAGATTTGCAAGTATATCAATATATAAATTATTGGATAAAATCGAAACCGAAAAGTCAAAATCTGATAGGTATTTAAGGGTGATGTTTCGATCCGTGTTGATCTCGTTAAATATTCTAATGTGGTTAATATTAGTTTCAAGGGTCGATCTGAATTGTCAAATCGTCCATTAATGTCAGCTAAAACAAAATTATGGGTGGATAAATATCAACCAACTAATTATTTGAATTTGATGGGCGATGAGGTATGATTTTTTTTATCTCAATTATTGATTTCTGGAAATATTTTGTTTTAAAATTTTTTTATCAGAACGTAAATCTTCGAGTGTTAAAATGGGTGAAACAATGGGATTTCTGCGTTTTCAACAAAAAGTCTGTAATTAAGGATGGTAGGACGAAAATTCTGCAGGTATGATTATTACTAAACTTAATCGATTATAAATTACTTATAATTTTATCAAAAATTCCATAAAATTTTAGCATAATGATCAATGGGAACGACCAAAGAAAAAGGTATACTTGATCAAATTATTATTATTTTATAATATTCGAATGAATCTACTATCTATAATTCTTTCTTTGAAATAGATTTTGTTATTAATCGGGCCTCCAGGATATGGAAAAACTACGCTAGCGCGCGTTGTAGCACGTTCTTGTGGATATAATGTCATTGAAGTGAATGGAAGGTGAATCATATCATTCACTTATTCTTTTCTTTATGTATTATTAAACTACGTTCTAATCAATCATACATTATAGCGATGACTTTTCAAGCAATAATGTAAAAGATCAAATCACGAATGCCTTGGGTTCTTTTTCATTAGCCTCCAACAATAAGCCGAATCTAACTATAATTGATGGAATTGATGGAATTCATGATACCGGAGAGCAGGTTATTATTACTTTATGAATTGATCTTAAATAAATACTTTCATTTAATTTAAAGGTATTTTTCTCTTTGATTTAGAGTTTAATTAATTCGATTGTAAATTTGGTCGGCTCAGAAAGAAAGAACATCAATTTGACACGAAAGGACACAAATAATAGTAATGATTTTAAATTAAAAATTATTCATATTACAGTCTTATCAAAGTTAATAATATATATATTTTTTTTTATTTTTTTCAAAAGGTCCTAAAAAATCAAAAAATAAACCATTACTTCGTCCTATCATATTTATCTGTAACGAATTGTATGTGTAGTGATAAGTGTATTAATTCGAAATATTTAGGTATTCAATGATGTAAATTTGAATTATTAGATATGCGTCTTCTATAAATCCGCTTAGAGCTATTGCTGAAATAGTTCAAATCAAGAAACCTGATCAAGTGTCACTTGTAAAGCGATTAAAAGAAATTTGCGATAAGGAGAACTTATCTATTGGTATGCCAACTTTGTTCAAGTTAATTGAAAAATATGAAGGTGATATAAGAAAATGCATAAATTTTTTACAGGTAAATTGAATCATCATAAAACAGTAAGAATTCTTTGATGCATAAGTGACATAAGTATATATTTTCTAGTTTTCAATGTACGAGTCAAAATCAACTTCAAAAGAGGAATTATTATCACAAATTGATGGAAAAGAAAGAAAGAAGTCAATATTTTACATATGGGAAGAAATATTTCATGGGAGGAAAGGAGAAAGAATCAAGAGCAAAGTTATTTTTGACGAGCATGGAAATTTTTATGGTATATTTAATTTATCGTTTTATTTACTCAAATTCATAGTAAATTACTATCTAATCATCCGTAATAATTTAGATAAAAATTCGCGTCAAAACATTGTACGATTGACTTCGCTTATTCGTTCAAGTGGCGAATACGAAAAGCTTATGCAAGGTAATTAAATGGTCGTGATGTCTATTTGAATTTATTACCATTCCCGAAAAAAATATTTACATTTTATCTTTAGGATGCTTTGAGAATTACCTTAAATGTAAAACCGAAGATTTAAAGTCCAAACTAAGGGCTTGTGAATATCTTAATTTCTATGATCAAATTAGTTCAGCAATTAATTCACATCATTTTTATGAATTGCGCGAAATTCTTCCATATCCGATTGCCGCGTTCCATTATCTATTTGTAGGAAGTCCTCAGATTCGTATTAGATTTTCTAACCAAGATTATGAGGTTTGTTATTAAGTTTTATGTATTACCTTGGTGATTTTGGTTTATATTTATCGAAATTTTTTACATTATTTATAGAATAATGCAAAGAAAAAGGTAACCGAGAATATCATAATGACAGTATTGAATTCATTACCTCCACAAGTTCGAAGATTTCATAACAAAGAAGGTTCTTATGAATTGATTTCATGCCTAGTAAAAATGATTTTACCTAATATTGGACCGGTAATTATTCTTTTAAAGTTGTGTATAAAATTATTGATAATTAATTAATTCATTAAATTTTTTCAATAAACAAGATAAATAAACGCAACATCAACCATGAAGAAAGATCCAAAATCAAATATGTGGCTAAAATAATGCATTCATTTAATTTGGATTTTATTTTAGATAAAAATGCATCTGGTCAAAACAATTATATTCTTGATCCGTAATTATAACTCCATATTATTATATATTATATACAGTATAATGTTTAATGTAATAATTTTAAAATCTAATACTTAATGTAATCTACTTCGTATAGACCGATTGATAGGCTATTGCTTTCATCAAAAGAAAATCCACGTGTTGAAATTCGACGATTATTAGCAACCGAGGTATTATTTCAATTTAAACGAACATGATCATAAATATTTTATTAAGTATCATCCCTTCTGATCCTAATATATAAATATATATATATATATTTTTTTTTGCTATAAGCTTAAAAATGGACAGATTTTAAAACAAAAAGTTGTTGAAGATAAGACTAATTTTTGAATTGAAATCGAAAGAGTACGTATTTGTTTCGATAAAGCGAAATATATTACCAAAATTTTATTCAACTTGTTTTTTCACATGAACTACAGGGCATCACGCGTCACAAAACTCAAACCATCAAAACCTACAAATCATTTGAATAAATCACAGGAAACGAAGCAAAGGAAATTTCTATATAATTTACTCTAACTAGTCTTTAATAATATTCTAGTTACTTTGTCATGTTAGAGAATTTAAAAGTTGATTCAAGTCGATCAAAAGATAATAGCTTTAAAGTCATTATAATATCGTGATGATGAATTAAATCATATATATATATATATATAATAAAGATCTTATAATTTTTATTTCATTAACAACTCGAATCGAGTCCATATATTTATTTTTAATTGTAGATGTCAAAGTTCCAATTATGGGATATCAGGTGCGACGATCATCTGACTTTTTTTCAATCTCCAAATTCAAAAGTGACATACACAAATAATATAAACAAAAAATTTTAAAATGTATTAGAATGTATTAATTTCATTTGTAAATTGAGTACAGTTGATTAAAGAGTTATGGAAAAGTTAAAATCAATAAAATAAAAAAGTGAGTAATAAGCTATTTTAACTTAAGAACCATGTGATTTACCATGTCTCCGGACAAATTTGGAATACAATTTTCAATTTTTTTTTCTATGTTGACACATGCACCTTTCTCCTTTCATACATAATCACATGACTTTTGGTAAGTTGAAAAGAGAACTTTCGTTAAACATTTAAACTGGTTAGAATTATAACTTTTCATCGAAACATTTCCCATTATTATAATTATTTCATTTCACCATTGATATTGTAGACGACTTTTTTTTTTTTTTTCCTATAGAAAATAGATCGTTTTAATTTATTTAAATATTAATCTGTGATTAATTGAATTATTTCAAATCCGATCATTTAAGAATAAATATTATTACACGAATAAAACATGAACTCTTCAAATCCTCAAAGGCTACCAAAGCATAAAACGTTTGTAGATACTGGTATGTTATAAATTGCGTTACTTTTTATCTCTTTTTTTTTTTTTTTACGTTGATCCTAATCTTAGTCATGCTTTTGTTAGCACAGTTGGAGAAAAATACTGGCGAAAGGATTGACAGCTCTCAGGTTGATTCAGAACAGACAACACCACATGGATCTATTAGCGTAATAAAGTCTAAATTTGAGAAACTGAATAACAACAATGATACGAATGAAACTACCAATGCAAAAAACAAGTTATCTTTTCCTAATGCTGTGATAATGGCTCATCAACAACATAAACATCAATTGCATAAGAAATATAAATCAGGAGAGCTTAGAAATTCTTCAAATAATGAAATTAATGGTCAAATACCGTCAAAACTGCAAAAAAATTCATTCAGGAATGCCGTTAACGTAGTTAATGCCGTCAATGGATTGAAATCTCCCCCTCCAATACCTCCGAGATCTAAACCACCGATTGGAGGGATTAAACCTATCATACCACCATCACCTTCAGTATTAAAAAATAATCTTTCACCTACTATTTTGAATCTTCCTAATAGTGCACCTCTTTCTCAACACGTATTAGAGGATACTGATAACCCTTTTGATGATTCTAAAGGAGTTGATCCTTTTGCTGATGACAATGAGCTTCCACTTCCACTACATGATTCTACTAAAACTTCAACGGTGATCGCGTCTTCACCTTCAAGACCTAGAAGGCATAGTCATACTCCTGCTCCTTCAAATGTTATAAAAAGAAATAAACTTATAGGCGATAATTTGATTGATGTAACTTATAATTTGCAACGTAGTGCTAGTCAAACAGTATCTTCAAAGCCTCTAAGGAAGCCCGAAATTTTAATGCCTAATTCTTCTAGAACTTTGCCAAAGTGTCATGAAAATGATCCACCTTCTCTACCTCCAAAACCATCAAATAGACCGCCAGCTCCAGCGCTTTCTAATCGCCCACAATTGCCACCACGAAAACCTAATATGGAGCATCATAATGAGAAAAAAAGCAAGCAGGCGAAAGTCACAAAAAAAGTAGATGATCAAGCAGATTCAGATTCTTTGGATGATTCTTCAAAAAAGATTCCAGATGCATCTTATACTAATAGACGTCCGCCAAAATTTCATAACATTCAAGATATTAATAGTAAAAATACAACACGTACTTTCGCCATCGCGGGGGAATTTTTAATTACAGGTTCAGGCCAAACTCGTATATGGTCTTTGGAGAATGGTTCAAATGTTCGTAGCGTCCCTTGTGATGATTCTATAACAAGCTTATGTTGGCGCCCGACTCGTCGTATAGAAGAGGTTGGTCGTTATATTTGGTGTGGGGCTCAAGATGGTTACTTATATGTCGTTGATATAGATTGTAGTGGCAAACAGATTGAGAAGAATAAGAAAGCTCACAATTCACCAATTAATTTCATATTACGTCATCAATTGCAATTGTGGACGTTAGATGATAGTGGTAAATTACAAATATGGTCGGAAGATGATAGTGGAGTTGTCTCCCTGAATTCAAAACCAAAAACTGTAAAGGTTTTATCAAAACCGAATTGTGCTATTGTAGTCGGTCATCATTTATGGTTATCATATGGTAAGTCGATTGTAATTCATAATCCACTTGACGATACCCATGTGGCAAAAATTGAAGTGGGACCCGAAGTAGGAAATATTAGATGTATGACACAAACGGATAATTCTTCTCTTGTTTATACTGGACATGACGATGGAACAATTAGTGTGCATGATGCTCAAACTCATAAAACTGAGTCCACTTTTACCGTATCAACGTATTGTATTAATTCTTTACTGGGCGTAGGCAATTATCTATGGGTTGGTTTCAAAACTGGTATGATTTACATCTATGACGTGCAACATAGTCCTTGGGTAGTAATTAAGCATTGGCAAGCTCATAAAGCTCCAATTATTGACATGCAATTGGATAATGCTGGTTTATGGAGAGTTGAAAGATTGCAAGTTGCTAGTTTAAGTGATGAAGGTCAAATCATCGTATGGGATGGCTTAATGCACGATGATTGGATAGGTACGTGGAATAATTGTTAGAATATTGCATTTCGAAAAATTCTACTTCATAATAACGATTTTATTTGTTTAGACGATCAAATGTTTGATAGAGAGAATGATTATTGCACCTTTAGGGATGTTAAAGTGTTAATATGTTCATGGAATATTGACGCATCAAAACCCGAAGATTTAGAACGATCTCCAGATGGTGAACATTTTCTCACCAATTGGATCAAAAGCACAGAGTCACCTGATATTATAGTCTTTGGATTTCAAGAAATGATCAACCTGGAATCAAAGAAGATGACCGCAAGTGAGTAATATTAGTAGAATTCAATTTTGTTGTTTTGACAGTTTGACAATTAATTAAATCTAATTTTTTTTTTTTTTAAAAAAAAGAAATGTTAATGACCAAAAAGAAAAATGCCAAACAATTAAGTGAAAATATAACGCAGCGATATAAGTTATGGCATGATAAGTTGGTTCAAGTGGTTGGTCAGAAATATGAAGTTTTGGAAAAGGATAACCTTGTTGGATTATTTACATGTATTTTTGCAAAGAAGGACGAACTGGAACATATTAGAGAAAGTGATGTTGCGTTAAAGAAAACTGGGTTAAAAGGGTATCATGGTAATAAAGGTTCGATAGCGACAAGATTTATATATGATGATACATCAATATGTTTTGTGAATTGTCATTTAGCAGCAGGACAATTACAAACTAAGGAAAGAAATACAGATGCGGCAAAGATATTGGATAATACGACATTTCCATCAAAAGCCGCAAAAGATAAGTTCATATGGCGAGAAAATGAATACGTTTTCACTAATGGAGGAGATGGATCGATGGTATTAGATCACGAAATAGTATTCTTCAGTGGGGATTTAAATTATAGGATAAATTTATCAAGAAATGAAGTACTTGAAGCTATAGAAAAAAAAGATTATAAGTTCTTAACAGATTACGATCAATTAGCTATACAAAGAATTAAGAATCCAGGATTTCGTCTTAGGCAATTTTTAGAAGGAGAAATAGTATTTAACCCTACATATAAATATAATCCTGGAGAAGATGAATATGATACGTCAGAAAAGAAAAGGATTCCAGCGTGGTGTGATAGAATATTATATCGTCCCAAATATCTTAAATCAGAGAGACATGAAGGGCCTGATCAAAGAAGTGAAAATGAAAGTAATGATAATCTAGATAAAAAATATTGTAATGTTGAGCTAGATCATTATTTAAGACATGAATGTAAAATATCAGATCATAGACCTATTAGTGGCGCTTTTTATATAAAAACAAAAAAAATATTAGAAGATAAAAAGGATTTGGTTAGAGAAGAAGTTGAAAAGGCATGGAAAGAAAAAGCTAAAGAAGAATTACACAAGTTCACGGTTAGATGGTTAGAAAGTTGTGGTTGGGATGAGCAGATTGCTGATAAAACTCTTAGGGAGAATCATAGAAATTTGAGAAAAACCGTAGATCAATTGAGTAAGAGAGATGAAAAAGGAAAAAGGAAATAATTAATATTTTGACATATTACTTATTATTATTATTATTTTCTTTGTATTTATTTTTTAATTATTATTTTGATCTAATTTTTTCGTTATTAATCCTGTAACGTTTATAATTTATATATATATATATATTGCAAGTTTATTATTATTTATATTAAAGTTTTGATCATGTTAAATACGTAAATTTATTTTTGCTTTTTTCTCGAAAGTATGGTATCATTTAACAAATCATTTAACAAATCAAGAGTATAAATAGTAAAAGGAAAGTTATGTCCAAATACCCACTGCTAGTTCCCTGCTCTGCACAAGATTCTTTAGAGAAGTAAAAAAATAA